CACACCAGTCATTTTTGTAGAAACACACAACATAATTCGACTTCAAAACCAGAGGCATGCCCAACGACTGTCTGAAACATAAAAATACCTAACATGAGCCTGATCATTTCAGATGTCTTCCTTTGGTATATTTCCATTTTCTTCTGGTCGTCAAAAATGACATCTGTTTAGATTATGACTTAAGTGTCTTATGAATATTTTAAAAGCTTATCATTTTCGTCTCTACAGGCTCGTTGCCTATTCGGACTTTTCTCTCTCTTTTTCTCTTTCCTTAACAGATACAAAGCAGATATTCAAATATACCCCTCCTTACTTTCATCTTTTTCAATTTTCTAATGCGATGTTTGATGTTACAAGAGCACCCGTGTGGCATTTTTCTATAAACGTGTGCTACCACAATTAAACCCAGGGCCCATGCCCAACAGAAAATGTCCGTCCTCCAACGAGGAGCGATAATGCATGAAGAACACGCCTGGGAATTATTGGTGTTTTATAAATTCTCTTTTGGGGGCGGGGCGTACAAAATATCAGACAAGAGACAATTATTTCCCTGTCTGTTTCCTGGCTATCAAAGGGAATTTTGAAATTCATCAAAGCTAACCTTGTGTTATGTACAACAGGCTCAGCTGAAAAGAATGTTAACAAGTTCAATTTTCATTCAATCAGCACTCCTGCTCCCTGAAATGTTTCATTGCAGGAAAGAAATAAAAATAATCTATATGGTAATTATGAGGATGAATCCCCCAGTAACTTTCAGCTACATGAAAGGTCAGTTCTATTCAAGATATTTTATCAGTTCCCTGCACATACTCCTGTCCTGTCATTTTAAATCTGAACAGCATTTTATTTTCCCATTTACAGCTACCTGCAGAATTAAGTACTTAAGCCAAATAAGGGAAAGGAAGGGAAAAAAAAGAGAGAGAGAGAATGTTGAATGCTGGCAAAGGCTATAATAGCATAGAGATAAATCGTTCAGCGGTTCTCCCTCAAGCCTCTAGGGCTGTAGATTTTTCTTCTCCTGGTGCACTGTGGGTATTCAAAACTTGTTCAACATGATTTCATTTCATTTCAGGCACTGCCTGAGAAAACTAAATTACAGAATCAATCATACAGAAGGTCAGAGTGAGACTTCATTACAAGTATTGCATGCTTGCATGAATATCTTTCATTTATGACTGACCCAATATGTCACAATAGCTGTCTAGTAAAAATAATCCACTTTCTGAAATTGATGTACTACCGATGTTGCTGCTACTCGGCAGGCCGGGCGGATTACAGAGAGGCGATAGAAGAGAACCCCACAGAGCCCTCGGGCGTGCTCCTTGTAGATTTTGCAGATTGCAATCTTTTGCAGATTAAAATAATTTCCCGATGATCATCTGAACTGGCAATAATGCGTAGAGGTGATAATTTTTTTTTTTTAACCAAAATGGACTGTTGATTTCTACTCGCCAACCACACGCTGCTTTGATAGCCACGTTTCCACCACAAGCAAATGGAAGTATTTCTTTGAAGTCACACATGCATCGACTTTCCGATTTTCAACAATATGTTTTTGACTACCAGCGCATTATTTGCATATTCCCAATTGCGAATCCTGATGATTGGACTCAGGGTTTTTTGTATTAAGTGTTGTCTTTTTATTTTTATTTATTTTCATTTGTATTGAATTGATTGGGGGGAGGGGGTAGTGATGAATAAAATTACATAAGTCTCGGGTGTACGATTCTATAATACATCACCTGCAAACTGTATTGTGTGTTGATCACCCCAAGTCAAGGCTCCCTCCATCACCATTTATCCCCCCTGTACCTACCCTCTTCTACCTCTCTCCACCCCCTTCAGCTCTGGTAATCCCCATACTGTTGTCTGGTCTGGGTTTTGTTGTTATGTGTTTTGTTTGATTTTTGTGGGCATTTGTGGGTTGGTTTTTTTTTGTTTGTTTTTTTTTGCTCAAACTCTTCACCTTTCCACCCAGCCTCCCGCCCCTCTCCCCTGACAGCTGTCAGTCTGTGCTCTGTCTCTAGGCATCTGCTTCGTTGGATTCATCTTCACCACCACCCCACTCCCCCTCCCCTCCCGTTTGCTCCTGCTCTCTGTTTTAAAATACAACAGCATGCGTTCCAGGAAGACGGACATGTTGTGTCTGTTGCCAACAAAAGATTGGTATAAAGGAAAGCCAATGGTTCCTGAAGGAGAGCGGCTGTCATGCGATACAAAAATGCCTCCTGTAGGATGGTCTTCCTCCACCCCCGTCATCCTGAAGACAGTCTCTTCCCCGGGATCCTAACATGTCCGATGTGCACCAGGCATGAGATTTCCATGCACCCGGGGACGCCGCATGCGTGATGGAAGCGGTACGATGTGTCATGTTCCCGATGACCTTCCTGCCACAGACCATGATGATGTCGCCGGCCAGCTGGGTGCCCAGAGGGAGCCGGGGGAGCCTTGACGCGACCTATTTTTAATCTCCGGCGACTCCAGATTCCATTTTATAGGTGAGCATGTCACGTCATACATAGAACAAAGCCAGCGACACGGGGTATGCATCATCGTCTTGTCTGGGTACATTTCACTCCACCGATCTCCCCTCCCCCCAAGATTTGTGATCTAAACTGCCATTTCTTCAAGGTGAAACTATGCCACTTTTCAACGAGATGAGTTAGTTTCCAGCCCAAATAAATATCCAAAACTTCAGCAGGGCGCCGAGGGGTGGGACGAGGTCCGCTTACACGCATACACTTAGCTAATGTGCTTAGCCGATGAAAAATCAATGGGCTAATTCGGCTGCGTTAGTGATCGGCAATACATCAGGAAAGCAGCATTAAAAATTGAGTCCCCTCTCCTGATGCCAGCCCGTCAAAGCATCGCTCTCGAAGTGGATGCGAATATCATAATTATTTTATGATTCCATCTTTAGTTCTTCCCAATGCGGCAAATGCGATTGACCATGAAATGAAATTTCATAGTCAAAATGCCTCCTTTACACGTTCTTTTTTTTTTTTTTTTTTTTTAGCAGCAATAACAGGTTTGGGGCTTAAAGGGAAGATAATTCATCCGATGTTTCACTTAAAGGCAGATTCTTCAATGATTAATAATAAATATTTGCCAATTGAATCAAGTACACGCGGTAGCAAGCATGATAGGGCCTTTTGACTATTTCCGAGACTTGAATAGGCCTCGCTAAGCATCTGTGGATAATGGGGAGCCACGGCTAAGTCCCTTGAGGACTCAACACCCGCTTTATTTTTATTATCACTTCCCAGGCTCACCACGGGCAAGCCTGACTGTGGAGGAGGAGACGGGACCCTCCCTGCCTGGGTCAAAGGGACATACATGTCAGCAAGTCCACAGGAAACAATTCTTTGTGATGGCGGGGAACGTGTATGAATAGTTAATGACCCTTTGCCGACTGTGGGCTGTGTTCTTTTCCGTCAAAAAAAGTAAAAATAACAAAAATAAACTCCGATGTTCAGCTCAAGCACAAAAGATGACAGGCAGAGAAAAAGACGCTGCCTCCATCCCATTGGGAAAGTAATCTTGTATTTGGAGAGCACGCTGGCTCTCCGCACCCTGATCCACTCCGCACTTTGCAATTGTGTGTTGTTCTCTGGGGAATTAACCAAGAACCCAGTAAACATCACTGGCCATGGGCCTGGCATGCAGAGAGATATGTCAACAAGCACGAGGATCTGTGTCTTTGTTATATCAACACATCTACATCTATTTCATTGCATCAGGGTTTTTGAAAAAGGCCTTTTAAACCGTTCATCTTGCTTGAACATGCCTGCTTAGTACCTCACCTAGACAGACACAAATGCTTTCTATCCCATGGTGGGGGGGGGGGGGGAGGAATTAAATCCCAGTAGAAGCGTTTAAAATACTTAAGGAGATTTTCCTCTGGCGATCGCCGACTGTAATTGCTCACTAAGAAAAAATAGAACCGAAACGATTGCGTTAGCAATCTTGGCTCTCTGGAGTGCCTTATTCCGTGTTCATGACAATAAATAACGCCATTAGGTATATTTCACACAATCGCCGGATCTATATTTTCCTCTGCTGGTTGTAAGCCGTGATTCTTTCCCCCTTTCTCTGTATCACAGTTGGATATTGCGCCTGAGGTAGGAGCAGATCGTGTATCATAAACGGGATATTATAAACCAACCGAACACAAAAGACCCAGGCCAGTGGTCAGCCAACTGCGGCTCGTGAGCCACAGGCGGCTCTTTGGCCCCTTGAGCTTTTAGCGAAGGCCAGCTTAGGAGGACCCTAATTAAGTTAATAACAATGCACCTACCTATATAGTTTACGTTTAAACAACTTGGCTCTCAAAGAAATTTCAATCATTGCGCTGTTGATTTTGACTCTGTGGACTAATGAGTTTGCCGACCACTGACCTAGGCGCTTGGTAAGGGCTGCCATTTCTAAACTCTCACCTGGGCAACCGTGCAACTCAAGTCCCTCTGTCTGCTCAACCCAAGGCCTGGGAAGATGGCTTGCTACGAAACCAATGAACCTGAATTTTAAAAAATCCTTTCCGGCCGAAACCGGTTTGGCTCAGTGGTAGAGCATCGGTCTGCGGACTGAAAGGTCCCAGGTTCGATTCCGGTCAAGGGCATGTACATTGGTTGCGGGCACATACCCAGTAGGGGGTGTGCAGGAGACGGCTGGTCGATGTTCCTCTCTCATCGATGTTTCTAACTTTTTATCCCTCTCCCTTCCTCTCTGTAAAAAATCAATAAAATATATTTTTAAAAATAAATTTAAATAAAAAATAAATAAAAAATCCTTTTGGATCAGAAAGACCTTGTGGGATGGCCCTCTTTCCTACGTGACTATCTGCCAACCCCGCGCCCTCTTGCCAATACCAGGGATTGATCTGGAATCGGCGGGAGGAAACCCAGTCCCTGTGCCCCCCTAGAAGACAGAACAGGGATGTCAGAGCGCCACCAGCAGCTCAGAGGAGAGAAAGCTTCCACGCGACCCGCTTTGCTGCCTACCATGTGCGACCCGCCGCTGTGGAGCACGCCGTCTTGTTCCCCGAGATTCCTGGAGATGGTGATGGACGGGAGGTCCAGGCTCTGCGGGGGGAACTGGGGGGTGAACTCGCTGCCCTGGGCGGGCACGGGGTCGCTGAGGCCTTGGAAGGGCAGGAGCACGTCGGGGATGCCCAGGGCGGGGTCCGACTCGGGCGGAGGCGTGATGGGGGGGATCTCAAACTCCTCGTCCCCGAGACTCGGCGTGTGGAACGTCTGCAAAACAAAAGGAAGCAGAACTCAGAGACGCCTCACACTCCATTCCCTGTGTCTTTTTTTATTTATTTATAAATTTTAAAAAATATTTTTATTGATTTTTTACAGAGAGGAAGGGAGAGGGATAGAGAGCTAGAAACGTCGATGAGAGAGAAACATCGACCAGCTGCCTCCTGCACACCCCCTACCGGGGATGTGCCCGCAACCAAGGTACATGCCCTTGACTGGAATTGAACCCGGGACCCCTCAGTCCGCAGGCCAATGCTCTACCACTGAGCCAAACCGGTTTGGGCCATTCCTGTGTCTTTGCTTCCCCTGGAGAGCAGCAGCGAGGTGTTTGCATGAAAACAACTCCGCGGCGAGGCCAAATATTTACTTCTCCAGCGGAATCGTCTCAAGCACAGATTTGCACGCAGAAAGTTTTTGCTGATCATTCCGATTAAAGATTTAAGTCTCATTATCATATGGTTTTAATAGAGTATCCGTATTAACCGTTTTTTAATGCGTACTTAATTAGCAGCATCTGTCTCTGTTGCTAGTCAGAGCAGCAGTGGCATTAGGCGTGGCTATATAACAAATTGCCGCTTTATTGATATGTTAGGGAAACAGCCCAAACCCTCCATTACCCACATGCTTCGTAAAACGCACGCACACGCCGCACGGACCCAGCAGTGAGCATCACACGTGCTCACTCTCTGTCACAACATGTAAAACAAGTCACATGAAATCTGTGGTTTGCTTTTTTCAACTTCCTCATTGATATATTCCCCAGTGGGGGGGGGGGGGGGGGAGGAAGCTTCTATGGAAATTGTTACTGATTTGTCATACAACGTTTTCATTAAGGACCATCTTCAGAGCATCTATTAGAATGTCCCAGTGCTTTTACTTAAATGACATGGAGAGTTATTGGCTTTTTGCTATGAAGGTTTTTTAATTTTTTATTATTTTTTAATTGATTTTTTTATAGAGAGAAAGGGAGAGAGAGAGTTAGAAACATCCATGAGCGAGAAACATCGCCTTCTGCATGCGCCCTACCGGGGATGTGCCCGCAACCAAGGTACATGCCCTTGACCAGAATCGAACCTGGGACCTTTCAGTCCGCAGGCTGACGCTCTATCCACTGCACCACACCGGTTTTGGCAACTATGGCCTTTTGACATAAACCAGGACTAGCCACCTTTCTGAAACTTGAACTTGGGTTGGGGGAAAGGAGGGTGGCCCAGGTTAGAAGGCTATTTTGGCTACAGTGAAGAGGATGCGAGGCCCCTCAGATTTTTTTTTTTAATCCTCAGCTCAGAGGGTCCAATGTACAGTCTGTTTATTACTAATCACATTTTTGAAGAGTGAACTGATGCAAGATCATTTGAATCTGCCCTCACTGGTGAAGAGAACTCATTTAGAGCCGGCAATCACCATTATTCAAACCAGGAACTGATAATATAACTGAACAGCCACTTGGGAGAAAAGAGAAACAAAATGAAGGGGGTTGGCAGGGAAGCACCCCTTTCCCTGCGTACAGAACCAGCCAGCTGGGATGTCTAATCTCACCGGAAGTAAACAGGTCACAAGACAAGGGAGTCGGTCCCATGGCAAGACCATCAGACATCTCGCTCACGGTCCTTTGTAGACTCAACAGATGCAGAACTTGGTTGCCTAGCAACGCATTTGAAAGCTAGAATGCAACTATTAGATTTTCTGACATATTTATTTGAATAATGACTCCCCCTCCCCCCCCCCAAAAAAAAGAGTCTGGTTTCTGAGGATGGTACCCTGTGTCCTCAAACACAATGGGATGCGCTGGCCGCAAGGGCGGTTGGCTGGTGAGTGTCGGCCTATGGCAGCCGTGGCTGCTATGTTGGCACTGACGCGGTGCACTAACAGATGCAACTGTAATTTGTGACTCATTTGCTACCCCATTACTGCTTAATGAAATCTAACATATCACATTAACAATATGGATAAACACTCGTTCTCGATATGTGGCATTTGGCTGTTTTCATTACCGTTGTAATTAACGCTTGAAATATTATTTCAATAAATATTTAAAGGACTTTCAGCACGGTCAGGGTAATCATGGCGCAGACAGAGAACACGCAGCCAATGTGTGAATTTCAAACTCAGAGGATCCCAGGCCCCAGGGTATCAGCTACGGGGCAATCGCTATGTGAAGGGGGGTGGTTTGGGGTACCATTTCGACTTGACTGCACCAAACCTAAAGGCTTCCTGAATTAGTCTGTGCCATTAAAATGTTAAAAAAAAAAAAACAACAACAACAAATAAATTTACTTTTAATGTAGTGATTGGGAGATGAGGCACAGGCTATAATGTAGTGTGTTACGATTTACTCGGGCTTTATTTTTTTGTTTCAAAGAAAAAGAAAATGTTCTGAAAAACCATTGCATAAGATTGCCTCTTAAACTCTACCGTAAGCACATCATACGCTAGGCAGTCAAAATTAAAGAGGTTTTTATTCTTCTTTTTCTTAAGGAATCCAGAGATGTCATATATACGAATATAACACCCTTACCATATAATTTTATAAAGGACAAGATAATTTTAAGGGAGAATTTAGCACACTACTTACTATATCATAAACCTAATAAAACCATACGATAAAATTCTATTACAGCACACAACCAAGAAAATGCTAGAATCTTCCACCGCTTTTAAAGAGAAGCGATAGATTCAATTCAGGGCTGAGCATTCCTTAGAGAAAAACATAACAAAGACGTACTGGTTATCTGAGGTTATAAAAGCAACCACGTACCATCCACACACCAAAAATAAAAAACAAAAAGTTACCGAATTTTGGACAATCTGCCTTCCGACTGAGATCAGATTAATCATATCACGTTCCGAGGATGGCTTCTCAGAGCCATTGACTTCACCGTGTTTACCTTGAACACGTTTTAAGGAGTGTGTGCATGCTTAAATACCATCTGCACCGAAATGTTCAAAACATTTGTTCCTTTTTGATAAAAATGCAAATCTGGAGAGCTGTTGTATCAACACATAACAGCCACTGCCTGACACGGTGAATTATCACAGCTGGAATTAAATTGTCTCCGCGCAGCTGCTGCCAGCCGAGTGTTCGTCAATGTTTGATTCCAGCGGAGGGGAAAAAAACCTACAGAAAGAAGCATCGTGCTGTCCTTACAGATGGGGCCTGTGCTCACTGTCACCCACCGCCCAGCAACCAGTGCCAGACACTGCTCCCTCCTCCGGGCTGTCTCCTCGGGGAGAGAGGATGGTCACCGGAGAAAGTGTCTCGTCTACAATCGCCCTGAACTCTGGATTCTCCACTGTTTTCTAATGATGTCTCCATGTTCACTTCATTCACACCATTTGCTTCCTTGGACCGAGATGACTGAGGAAGCCACCATGATGTTCATTCTCGGGATTGGGGGATGGAGGAGAGTGGTGAAGCTCATTGGGCTTCCTGTATTTGAATACACTTGGAAGCTGAAGGCTTTTTATGGCAGGAGCTGCCCAGTGGCTCCATGTGGACCAATTTCCCTGTTTTGGCTCGTTTGCATAGCTAAGATCTGGGAATGGCCCATCAGTAGACAAGGGGATGAAAAGCTGGGGTACATGTACACCGTGGAATACTATGCAGCCGTGAAAAAGGATCTCTCACCCTTTGTGACAGCATGGGACAGTGGTTCTCAACCTTCCTGTGGTTCTCAACCTGTGGGATGCGACCCCTTTCAAATGGGCCGCCTAAGACCATTGGAACACACAGATATTCACATCACGATTCATAAGAGTAGCAACGTTACAGTTATCAAGTAGCAATGAAAATAGTTTTATGGTTGGGGGTCACCACCACCTAAGGAACAATATTGAAGGGTCTCAGCATTAGGAAGGTTGAGGACCACTGGCCTGGAGGGACCTGGAAAGTATTACGCTAAGCGAAATAAGCCAGTCAGAGAAAGACAAGTATCGCATGATCTCACTCACTCACGTGTGGAATCTAACGAAGAAAATAAATGGATGGAACAAAATAGACCCAGAGACACAGAAGCATGGAGCCGACTGTGGAATCTCAGAGGGAAGCGGTGGGGCTGGGTGGGTGGGTGGGAAGAGATCAACCAAAAGAACCTGCCAGGCTATTTTTGTCTCCCGATAGGGTTTTCTCATTTCTCCTCCTCTGTCACTGCCACAGGAGAGAGGGGTACACTCTCTTCCCTACTCTCCCCCTCCAGCCTCCTCAATGGCCTAAGAGGCACGCAGACCGGGGACAGACACACGGAGGCGGGCACCTACCTCACTGGCCGCAAAGAACGCATTGCTGGCCTCGGCCATGTTCATGTAGTTATGGTTATTCCCGAACTGGAAGAGAGCAGACAGCAGGAGGTTAGTGCGAGGCCCGGCAGAGGGCACTGGGGGTGTCCTGGGAAGGGCCCCCAGGGTTAGGGGAGGCCAAAGGGGGAGGGAAGGAGGGGGACCCTGGCAGCTGGCTCCCGAGGGAAAAACAAAGCACAGGGTTCCGTGAACTTGACCTCCATGGTTCTCATGGAGGCTGATCACAAAGGGAGGTGACCCCACACTGTTCCCCCACAGGCCAGGGGCCTTTGTCAGAGGTTAGAAGGCCAAGAGTGTCGTCCCCCCAAATAAATAAACAAACAAACAAACAAACAAATAAACAAACACTTTGACACATGTTTAAAACTTGTGGGGATTTCACCGCTTCCCTTCTCCAGAACAGATGTCCCCGGCGCGGGGAGGTTAAGATGTGAATTAAAAGGAAAAAGAATCCAATTCCCAGGACTCAAATTCTATTTTCTAGCGAACGGGGTGTGGTGTGAATATCAATAAATAATCAGACCAAAGACTTTTTTTCCTCTTTTTTAAATCTCCAGGGTTTAAAGCCCTATCTCCAGCCATCGGCACTGGAGAAAAGGGTGATATTTAAGCTCTCGGTGTAACATTAAGTGCAAAGAGGTTTAAGAACTGAGCGGGGTCCCGTGAACACAGCAATTTTTATTTAATTCCCTCGCACAATGGCCCATTCAGGCCGTCACAAATAAGACTGTATCAGCATTGCAGACATAAGCCCTTTATATCTGGGGACCTGTTATCAAAATGTAAAGAAGTGGGATCGGGGCAGAAATGGGTTTTCAGGTCCGGATGGGGGAAGTGGGCAAGTCTGGATGCCTTCAACATCCTGGGACCGGCCCGGCCAGGTGGAAAGAGCCCGCAGGCGTAATTCGCCGCAGTTATATTATTTTCATGATTTTTTAAATGGTGAAAAGGATGCCCTCCTTTTTACCAAGTGCATGATTTCCTGCCTTCCGTGCGTTCAATGGCACAGAGGTTTGGTCTCCACAGGGTGAAATGTGTATATCCACTCCACTCTCCGATGTAAACACAGCTAGTAATTACTTAAAGCAGAAGGCCCAACTTTCCCAAGGAGAGGGAGAGGAAGGAGGGAGGGAGAAAGGGAAGGAGGGAAGGAGGGAGGGAAGGAGAGCAAGGGAGGATAAATAGAACACAGAACTAGAATCAATGTCCTCATGAATCCTCTCAATAACCCACTAACACTTTTCTCCAGGGGGGCTCTCAGCCCAGACTTGAACCCATGACTCCTGCACAGAAGGGATTGGCACGCTACCCTTTCTCATGTCAGGGACCCACGAGCTCAGCAGGATTCATACCAAAGACCCTCACGGCTCCGGAGCGCTGCCAGGGCCCCCAGATGCACCACCGCACCCTGCACAGGGCACCTCCACATGCACAGGAGCCCTCGGGTCCATTGGACAAACGCCTTTACAGGGTTTCCCCGGAAGATGTATTTGTTTGCGCTTAAGCAAGGCCTCTGTCTGGCTTCTCGGTGATACCAGAACTAAACGCAGGCTTATCTTCCAACAACCAAGATGTATAGGTGCAGTAGGCAGTTTTCTCTGACATGTCCATCATCCCTCAATAAAATGGCTTCAAATAATTTAAATGTTTTTTGGGGAAAAGCACATGAGTGGGTGCATGTATGCACACACACACACACGGACACACTTTCCCCATGTTTCTACGATGTTAAAAACATGCAAGGCAAAGAACAGTTTCTGCATTGGAAATCTTGACGAATCAATGATCTCAGCATTAAAATCGCGGGTCCCCATTCCGCATGTTCGGTAAGTAAATACGTATGAGAACGCGGGTCACGATTGGTGCATTCCATGGACCAATCCTGGCGCCCCAAACAGCCGCCAGAACCCACTTTCCCCTTATTTAAAGGAAGATTCTGCTGGGGCATTAGAAATCCATTTACAGCAAACGGCTCATTATCGCGGAGTATTTTTTTTTTTAAAGATTAAACTCACTTATTATCTATCAGCACCTAAAACAACACAGACAAAATAAAATGGCTAGTGAACCAAGGGCCCAAACAATTCAAAACACAAATGAAGCTGCGAGTGAAGTGAGAACGGGGTCAGAAAGCCTCCGCTGCAGAGTGAGAGGGGATGTAATCACTGAAGGAGGGACAGCTCATCAGCTGTGAGTTGTCTTCATTAATTAGCATCTGCCCCGGGGACAGGAGGAAGCCCAGCAACCAGGCCAGCAATGCCACGGGGGATGAGCCATGGAGGATGGGCCACGGAGGATAAGCCACAGGATGGTGGCCCTGGCATTGCCTGGAGTCAAGCAGATGGCTCCGGGGTCCAGGTAACGGGCAAAGCTGGCACCTGACACACCACGCTAGACCCACAGGGCACTCCCCCGTAGCTTCTGCACCTACACCAGGCCTCCAAGAGTGGCTTTTCATTTGGAAACACTTGCCGATCGGCAGGAACACGTAATCAATCCTTTCACACCGAAGCAAAGGTCTCTGCGCTGTTTGGGGTAACGTATCTTCGCTACAAAGATGCTTCAAAGACTCACAGGTGACAGGCCACATCTTCCTCCTGCCCAGGTGGCTGGGCCACTGGTGCAGGGCGGGAGGGTCATCAGATAAAACACAGGACACCCAGCCTGCGTGGCTCCTTGATCTATTGAACCAGGAGGTCAGGGTTCGAGTCCCAGTCAGGGCACATGCCCAGGTGGTGGGCTCAATCCCCAGTGTGGGGCGTGCAGGAGGCAGCCGATCCATGATTCTCTCTCTTCACTGATGTTTCTCTCTCTCCCTCTCCCTTCCTCTCTGAAATAATATATATATATATATATATATATATATATATATATATATATATATATATATTTAAAAAGATTTCCTTAAAAAAATGGGGGGAAAATATAGGACACCCAGTTGAACTTGACTTTCAAATAACAACCTTAAAAAAAAAAAAGTGAAGTATAAGCATTTCCCATGCATTATTTGGGATATATTTATACTAAAAATTGCTTTCTTTCTTTTTAACATCAGATTTACCTGGGCATTGTGTATTTTCATTGTTAAATCTGACCCCCCTACTGTGGGGGCGGTGGTGACCTGAGAGGCAGGAAGGGCTGACCCTCCCCGTGTGACATGACCTAGTGATGCTAGTGTAGTTTTATTTATCTTATTTTTAAATACGACCGATGGACCCTCCTTTCCTTGTTTGTGTAAGAACAGATCTGATTCTTCAAGCAAAAGGGCCTCTGGGGGCCAGGTCTTTAATATAATGGTCTCAGGACAGTGAACTTCAGCGAAATCGTGTGCAGTTAGATGTGTGACCTGAGAGACAGTGACACGCGCGAACACGTTAGATTGCTAAGAATCCAGGGCCCCCGAGGGGGGAAGGGCCCTCACTGCTCCCCAAGAACACCGGCTCCCCCAGAACAGTCATGCCCGCAATACTAAACACGCCCCACGATGTTCTGGAGGGAGGGAGGGAGGGAGGGAGGGAGGGAGGGAGGGAGGGAGGGAGGGAGGGAGGGAGGGAGGGAGGAAGGGAGGGAGGGAAGAAAAGAAGAGGGGAGGGAGGGATGTATAAGCGAGGGGGGGAGGGAGAGAAGGAGAAACCTTATTTCACTTCAGTGCCTCAGAAGCACCCCTTCCCAACTGCAGTAACTAGATCCCTTCCGTTTGTATGATGAGAGTGATGACCGTGATGATGATGGCCATCTTCTTCATCATCACAATCACCATCACCATCATCATGTGTTTGCCTAGTAAAGCCTTCTCCACATTCATTACTTAACTTTCCTAAGTGCAACAAAATGTAACTTATTTTCCCCAACAGCCAGTCAGATACCGTCATTCCTCTCCCCATTTTATCCATGAACAAACGGAGGCTTCTGAGGGTCAACCTACTGGCCTCCAATCGGAGACAGGAACGGAAGCGGGGCGTCCATCCTGCCTCACAATCTGTCTGGCCGGGAGGCCAATATCCATAAAGACATGAATATTTCACGCACCAATCAATCCATTCCGAAACCTATCCATCCCATCGGACCCAATGCCAGAATTCCCCACTGGGCACTGCAAGGTACCCAAGTGCGGGAAAATGCTCGCAAAGAGGTTCCCAGTTCTATGTGTGTGTGCAAGGCTGCAGGCCACTGCCCTGCCCGATGACTCCCAATGCCAGCTGCCAAGTTCAAGGCCCTGAGAAGTCCATTGAGTGGCTGGAGAATAGCAGCCCAGGTCCCAGCTGCCGGAGGGAAGCCGGTGCTGGCAGCCAGGGGAAGGAAGGCTACTCTGGCACAAATTTTCATGCATCGGGCCTCTAGTATATATATATATAAATATACATATATACAGATACATATACATATATACATATACATATACACACACGTGTGTGTGTGTGGGGGGGGGAATGGTCACAGAGAGGCAGGGGCGTGGCTGAGGTCCTTTCCACCCTGACACGCTCTGATGGGTGTGGTCCCCACAGATGCAGTCCCCGCCGATACCATCATAAGGCAGAGCTAAAGTACTCGGCGTACTTCTGTATCTTCCTACTTTCACAAAAGAACATCTTCCTTGTACTTGAAGGTAGGTTTACTCTTTCTGTGATGAGTAATCACAGCTTCAGCAAATGCCATGGATGAAGGGCATCCATTAAAAAGAAGTACCATAGGATTTGTAAACCAACTTATTGGCGATCAGTGTGTTCTTGGGCTGTCTAACCATGCAAAGGGCCAAAGCACACGCATGGCTTCGGGCAAGTCTAGCCGGGGTAATCCCAGGATGGACACTTCAGCCCAAGGAGTCCACGCAGCATCATGCTCACTGAAATCACTTTGACACCCGTGTGAAGAATCATATAGGCTTCTAAGAAAGCAGCATTAAACACAGGGTGTCAAACAGCTAAATCCTTTAAAAAAAAATAATAATCCTTCTAACTCTCTTTTCTTCTCCCCATTAGATGGGTTAGCAGACCCCATCCAATGAGGTGCCTCAGTAAGGACATCTG